GCAAATTTCTATTCAAATGTGAGCCGGAAAGGTTTGCTGATATCTAATTAATGAACATGACTACGAAAGAAATAATCATTCCAATATACTTTTGTCACTTACAGTGAGCTCCATCGACATAGTTTCAATTAAAAAGCAAGCTAAAGGTATTTTTTTCTTCTGACCAGGGCGTCTTTAATTTGCATAATAAACCGGATCGCTTTTGGGTTCCTTCATATATATTTTTTGTTTTTCTTTTAATATTCACAACACTGAAATATTTTCTATTCGGCCAAGCGTAGCGATAGAGAATACATGTACTAGATAACTTCGTAATAAACTAAGCAATTGCCACATCATTAAGAAAAACTTGGAGTAACAGAATATATTCAGTGTCCACCCTCTTCACCTACGTTTAAAAAAAACTCGACTTACATCACTGCATGATAAACTGTGAAAAAAAACCTGCAACAGTTTTTTATCCTGATTATATAATTATTATAATAAATAACACCTGCTGATGTTGTGATTCAAACTTAATTTCCCTGCTTCCTTGTCATTTATCAAATCCTGAGCCATAAACAATGTCACCTTTCATACAAATGTTTTTATTCGTACTTGTAACCGCCATAATGGCCGCGATAATTCTGGTGATTATAACCATATAGAATTCTGATTCCGTTCATGAATATCCAGAATATGATTATTAATCTGCTGACTATTATATGATACTCGAAGCTGACATTTTTACTGAGTAACATAAACTTTTTTTTTTGTCAAGAATAATTTGCTAAAGACTCTTTTAAATCTGTATCTTTTATAAGTTAAGAGTCGGTTCTTGCTTAGCTTGTGTAGACCAAGACAAGGATGTACGCAGGATTTATGGAAAGAATGAGAGAAGTGTACTGAGAGTCGCTCCAGGCTTGACCGAGAGCAAATCAGTAGCTTCTTGACATCCGCCTTGTTCGTTTGAGTGCTTAGATATTTATTTTATTTTTTTTTTAAAAAAGTAAAAAGGCCTTCACCAATTTCCTCCATTATGGAGGGGGGGGGGGGGGGGTATTGTATTTTGTGGTGTTCTAATTGACAATGAGATATATGTTGGTTTTGTGTCTTTTTGTTTGAGTTTTTTTTATTTTTTTTTTTTTTATTTTAAAAAAAAAAGAGAGTTTTTATTCATGGTGTTAAGGGTGGGGGGGGGGGGAGGGAGGTAACTTTGTCAGAATTAAGCGACAGAAAATAGGGATTGTTTATTACTAATTTACACTACTTAAGACATCATCTTACATAAGCACTACCGATGGAAAATTACCAGAGATTTTTATCATGATGGCCCGATACGAAGTATTACGTTATAACGGGTGCTCAAGAACCGTCATATTGTTGTCTGAGAGTTTCTAGAGAAACCTCACATAACTGTTGCCCCATATATATTTTGAAAACATAGAAGACATGGATGGAAAAATGTTTTTCGTAGCGATGTCGATTAAGCAATAATATTTTTCAAAAATCAAGTTGTCGCCCCCTAGCGACGCGCGGCGTGCTTGAAATTAACAGTTATAGCACTGACCCAATTATGCGACAATTGCCTGTTGGAAAGTACACTTTCGAAAGTGTCAAGGTACATAAAGTTTATTAAACTTATAGTAAAAAAATTCGCATTTTCACCCCAAGACTAGCAATTTTTGAATTTATAATGTACCTTGAGTGGCTGGAGGGAAAGAGCATCAAGGCAATTGTACTGACACAGCAACACCAATTAGGTTTCACTTTTTTGGCGTTAATAGACTGGGATGCCTGAGCGATATGACTAATTTCTTGATTCCCCGATATGACTTACCGGAACAATCACGTTCCATTCGTTTTTCCTACGTAATAATGGAAAGATCGGTTACAGACAAAAAATGAACGGCTGCCCTATGAAAAGAAATCAATATGGCTGCTGCGGCAATTCTCTCAGAATTTGGGAGAAACAAAGTCAAATAAAGTGTCTATTAACTGTTAGAGTAAATATATAGGCCAAATAAATACTAAATATCCTGTATTTGCTTATTGGTTCAAATATTCATATCCCAAGTTTCAACTACAAAAAAGAAATAGTGTAGTTAAACAGTTTGAAATTATGTTAAAATTAATTAAATGGCCTGCATTTTTTAAACATGATAGAAGATACAAACCATCGCCTATTTAGACTATTTTCTCTGCCAAACTGAAACAGTTAACCCTAAATCCGTACATTATCAATTGGTATCAGAGTTTCCTCTATGCAAGACAACATCACACGTGTCGTTTAATAATTTTTAGCACATTGGAAATCTGTCAATAGAGGAACCACACAAGGTAGTGTAAGCGGACTGTATCTTTTTAATATATTTTTGAATGACTTGGAGACTTTCTTTAATGGTTGCCCTGTTCTTTTTAAATATGCCGATGATTCCACTATAGTTTCGCCTATCGCTAGGAACCGCGACCCGTCAGCCGACTTAGTAGGACAATTCTTAACCTGGTGTGAAGACAATAAAATGGTCTGCAACCCTTGTAAATGTAAAGAGCTGTTTGTTAGAAAGAAAAATCACAATGTACTCTACTCTCCAATTAACAATATTATTCCTTAATGTAATAGCTTCGTTTTACTAGGAGTAACTCTACAGAGTGACGGGAAATTTAATGAGCATGTAAGAATCAAGCTTGTCAAAGCAAACAAGTGTTTACACGTCCTACGAACACTAAGAAAGGAACACTACTCTCAGGCAGAGATAGATCACCTTTTTATATCTATTGTTTTACCTCATTTTAGCTATGCGCTTTCAGTCTATGGGGCATCGGAGTCCGATCTTATGGTTATACAAAATTTTTTAGACCGATGCCATAAACGCTGTTTTATTTCATTTCCAGTTCTTATCAAGAACCTTTTAAATAAACAAGACCGAAACATTTTAAAGAAATTAATATTAACGGATTGCCACCCACTGAAAGATATCATTCCTGTCAAGAAGACTTATGTACATAATCTTAGGAAAAAAGGTTACGCACGCCCGAAAATTAATACAGAGCATTTTATGAACACCTTTGTGAATAGGTTGATTTTTAAGCTCTATGTATTGTAATGACATACTTTTTTAATATATATTTAAATGTAGATATTATTACCATAGTTTTTTATCTTCCGTATTATTGTAACATAGGATATGCAGTTTTATCTCTTGATGAAATAAGGACTCATTATTATTATTATTATCGCCATACGAACACAATCACGTACATCAAGGTAGAAAGTATGTTCCTAACCACCTTAGATGGCATATGTAAATTTGAAGCCTTAAATAAAAAAAAAAAACAGAACAATTAACATGTAATGAAAATGGGACTAGCCATCAGTTTAAGCAGACTGATCGACACGGAAAACTAGAATGTCACGCTTCGACTTCAGGTGCAAGGTGTGATGGAAGATGGTTTCTACTCACTTTCTTTCATTTTTCAAAGTAAGATCTTTTAAAGAATGCCAGTCCCTATGTCTGTATATCAGCTATATCTGCGCAAGAATACAACTCATTCACACATCAAGCGGACTTGTTTTTCCTATAATTTTCTTTCTTTATTCCTAGATTATTTTCTTATTGAGATTGTCGACAGCTTGCCCAATTTCAAATGCAAGTAAGTTATAATGCTTTTTTCTTTCAGTTCTGTAATAGACCTTGTCACGGTTTTCGACGACATCATCTTGACGAGTAGGCAAACGCGTGAGAAACTACAGTGTTTGTATGAGAATCTAATGTCGAATGATTTCCGTAAAACGGCTAGTTCTGAAAAAAATATGATTTGTAAACTAAAGCTACACAGCAAAGGATTTTACTAACAACTTTGGGGGGCCGTTACTGTGCTTAAATTTCTCCAGAAGCTTGCTTTAGATTTCAACATAGTTGTCTGCAATTTTTCCCGGCAAATTTTTACAGACAAATGTATAGAAAATTTAATAAAAAGGTTGTAGGTCTTCTAGCGCATGTAACACCCTCAAATTTGTTCATAGAATCCTTAAGAGTGAAGCTTTAGTTTACAAATCATATTTTTTTCAAAACAGCCGTTTTACGGAAATTCTTCGACATTAGATTCTCATACAAACACTGTAATTTCCCACGCGTTGGCCTACTCGTCAAGATGGCATCTTTAACCGTGACAAGGTCTATTGAGGATGAAATGGGATGTACTATGGTAATTTTATTTCAAATTATATGAAGTCAACCTTGCCTCTAATTTCTCAGACCCAAAAACTAAATCCTAAACAGCGTAATAGAAATTGTATAAAAGTATAGAACTCAGTTTTGTGGCTATAAAAAACACTACAACAAGGGAAACTCAGTTTCAACACTTTTTTTGTTTTTCGTTAGCCTTAAAGTCGCCTTTAGCGATTTGGCAAACCGCCTTCAGCTTTTCTCAGCTTTTCTCACGAAAATCGAAATTTCTGGAAGTACCTTCTTTCTAAGGCTTAGTATTACGATCTTCGTTTGCAATAAAAATGTATATCATAAATTAAAATTAAATGGGTTTAGAATATCGAAGAAACATTTGTTATTTATTTTTATTAAAGCTTGTTTACCTAAACACATACGTTTCATATACAAACCAATATAACCTAAGAATTGTATTTAATCAGAAGACTGGAATTTTCGAATGATAATATTCAGATTGTTTTTCTGCTTTTTATTATGATTTAGAATAGTCTGTTTAAGAAAGCGACAGGAAGTTTTAGGTCTTCAAAGACTACTGAACTTATCTTTTACGTCAGAACAAAGTGACAAGCAAGAACAGCAAAATATGACGGGTTGCTTACTCAGGTTCATATATCCAAATAAAGGTTTTTTTGTAAACTGGGAAACAGAACATTTTTGCCAAAACGTTACCCTTGTGTGTTAAAGTAGCCGATCAATACCCTTCCTGCCACTCACAAAGTGAAAGGTCGTGAAAACATGCATGGGCAAAAAGAGCATTTACCTTTCGGTGAGTGCACTATCATTTTTTTTAATTCAGCAGAAAAATTTGAATACAGTCCAGAATGCGAAAGTGTCATTATCGATACAGGAAATGAAACAAGGAAACCCCAGATTCAAATTGTCATTACTGGTACTAATAATTTGATTAAGACGTATCAAGGATGCTCAACGAAACATCAATACACTGATGACATGGGATTGCAATGGACCTACCAAGTGGCTCGTTTTAGGTTTGTTAACACCGTCAAAATTGGAAATCCAGTTTACATCGGAGGAGCTAAAGCGTTGTCATTAGAGGGAGAAAACATTGTGGTAGATGAAAAAGGATCATTTGAGGTTGACATAAACTCATCAACAAGTTTCCAATCAGCCAGTTTTGTTGGAGGGTTTGTTCCAAAAATTGGCTATAGTGGTATGTGCAATATTCCAGTTTTAAATGCCAGGTTTTGGTCTCATTGTAAACGTGAATTTCCTAGCAAAAAACTGTTTTCTACTTAACCCCCGTCATTTTCGCTAATCCGATTGACCATGTTTTCTTGCTCTCTAACTATCGCATAGCACCGCCTTATAATGGTCCTGGTCGAGGTAACTACAGTAACCTAGTAGCTGGAGGTGCTGGACATGGGGGACAGGGAGGAGGAGGAGACAACGTCCTCGCTAGCTCGTATGGTGCTGTCGACATTAATCAGTATCTGGGAGGAAGCACAGGTATAGTACAGTAACTTTCCTTTCAATTATTCACTTTATTTGCGGTAAAACATCTAACGTCGTCTTACTTCTAAAGAACACCCAAAACTTCATGGGGCGCCATTTTTTTCCACACTCATGCTTCAATTATTATTCATAGGCGCAGCTCCCAAAATACTGTGAAAAAAGGGCACTTCAAGGCGTAGCCAGGACCTAAGAAGTGACCCAGTATCGTGTCCCTTGGCGAGGGCGCTATTTTGAAAAGTTTGGTGACTTCATCATATATCCAGTTCTGGTTGCTTACCAGTGTCTAAGAGGCGAACAAACACAGGATGTCTGCTTTGACTTGTTGATTGTTTGATTAACTAACTAATCTATGGATCAAACAATCGATTGATATTGATTGATTGAATGATTGTTTGATTGTTTGATTGATCCTGGTGGATTGCGGTTAAATCAGGAGGACTGAAAATGAATATCTCGTTCTACTCATTTATCTCCTCAGGGGGTTTCACGGGACCAAATCTTCCTGGTATTGGCGGACCAGCAATGGAACTCAAGGCCGTTGGCGCTTTAAAGATCGGTGAGTCTATCAGCAGCAATTATTTTTACCCATTAATTTACACGTAACATACTGTTACCAAATGAAACTGACCTTTTTGTTCTCAGAGCTGGACCTGAACTTGGGGCCTCCGGATTGTAAGTCCAACAGTGGTAACCTTTTTTTATCTGATCGATCACATCGGAATGTTTCTGCAGTTGGGTTTTCCAGAGTAAACGGCCATTTACTTTGTTCAGAAAACCGAAATCACACGAAAATTGCACTCACACGAAACCTGACCTCCTGTCAGTGGATCGTTAAGATCCATTAAGATTGTAAAACACGACATTTTCCTTATTTTTTTAAAGGTGGAAGAATTATAGCAGATGCACACAGTCTGACAGATCAGCTAAATAAACATGACCTTATAGCAGGGAGTTCAGGGGGCCTTGTAAGGCTGCTAGCACAAAAAGTAAGAATTTCTAAGCCAGTTTCTTATTTATTTGCAAGTTAGATAAGTGTTTTTGCTAATTACCCAATACCGCACGGGATTGTGTGAAACGCCAGACCATTATGGCTCTTGAAAGACTACTCAAGCTTTGTTTGAAGTTTTTTGATCTTCATAGAAGTTACAAATTGAATTAAATTAAACCAAAACATACATGTACACGCAGACATTCTCTGCTCACAAATAGCTTGGCTAGTCGAGGAGGTTAGAGAAAAACATAAACTACTTTATAACTAGGAAGGAGAGGAATTAAGATAGGTCTATATAAATGACACAAGAAGATGGGCTGAAGTTAATACAATACAACGGTACAAAATATACCAACTTATTTTACAAGGCCTTCAAAAACGATTGAATCTCCAGTTTCGAAACAAATGTTAAACTCATTAAAGCCAAGATAACCTTAATTGGCTTTTAAATGCTTAAAAAGCTTTCTTGAGCTCCTGAGCTATGCAGGCTGTTTCTGAAGGCAGGCCCTATTCACATGTGGGATCATTGGGTTTCCGCCTGGTGTGACGCATAACTCTGAATACTTATAGATGTACTGATTGTGTTGTATTTGTCAAAATTTAAATTTTGACAAATCATTGGTTCATTTCGTCACGTTTATCGAAGCTTCCGATGACTGCGAGTTATACCTTAAAATCAGAAATTTAAAAGATTACTCCTATGTAAAAGGGAAAAAAGAAAGTTGGGCTATGTGAATAAATTCAGGCACATTTAATGTGCTCGACACTCAAAAAAGATTTTTTTACTTGCAGGTTAATATTTCCCAAAGCGCTTCAATTTCCCTTAAGGGACGTAATGGACTTTGTGGAAGAAGTCCCTGCCAAGCCTGTGGTGGAAGTGGAGGGATCTTTCAAGTTATTTCTCACTCTGGATACATCGCCCCTAACACTGTTTCACTAAATGCTGGAAACAAAAGTAACAGGTGCAAGACCCAGGCAGAGAATGGTTTTCTGTACATAAGTGGTGAGCCTGTTTTCAGAAAATGATTTCATATGACAAACCTTTCATAGTTCCCTAGTGGTTTCTCTTATTCTTGCATGAATTACAGTCTATCTATCTTTTAACGAAAGGCTGCTGGATAAGAATCAAGAGAAGTGGTTTACGATTTGAAGGTTTATTTGAAATTTCCCGCATCAACAATTCTACTGGTTCTTTGGCATAATTTTTCAGATTGGTTCAATTTCTTTTATGCAGGAATAAAACAGGGAAACGTTCCTTCTTTTCCCTTAAGTGAGTTCTACTGGGAACAAAGCTCTTCTTCAATAAAAGTCACACCGTCGTCTTCAGGAATCATCGCGAAAAAAAGTACGAGTAAAGATTCCTTTCTTGATTCAGACGAAGCAATGTCGACTTACTCAACCGTGCCAATACTATATAGCCCGTCAACACACTATCCTTGTGTTACAATGTCTTCCGGAAATCCATCGGTTACTTCAACGCTGATCTGTGAAGGTGAGACAACGTTAGTGTTCTAATAGTAGTATAGGATTTCACGAAAAATATCGGTTTTCTTTGCCAGGAATAGCCATAGCCTTTTGTCTTTATCTCGATCTTATGAATAAAATGCGGGGAGGGGAGGGGGGGGGGGGGGGTTTAAGGGAAAATTCGGGGGCTTTTTTTGGGTGTTGAGGGGGGTTGGCAATTTTTTCGGTTTTTTTTGGGTAAGAAATTTCCTGTTTTTTGGGTGTCGACCCGAACCTTTAAAAACCGGTTAATCCCCCAAAAACTACCAAGGGCCCTTTGTTTATGGGATTTAACCAGCATTTCTTCATACAGAAAAAAATGGGGGGGGGGGGGGGGGGGGGGGGGGGGGTATTAAGGTAAGATCATGTGCTATTTTTAGGTAGTTCAGCTGGATTGACAGTTTTCTAGTTATTTTTAGGTAGAGAATGTCCTGGTTTTTGAGTGACTGACCAGAACCTGTAAAACCGGTTGAATCACCCAAAACTAGCACAGGACCTTATGTTTATGAGATTCAACCGCATTTTCTTCATGAGAAAAAGACAAAAGGCTATGACGGCATCGGCGTTGTTGTATTCCTACGCGAGTTAATAGGATTCCTGCACAAAAAACGTATTTTCCGGTACACCCTATACTACTTTTAAAGAAGCCCTTTCACAAGCTGACAATAATCAGGTTCACTTCACATCTGTCATTTAAATACGATAGTTTGCTTAAGCGACGTTTTTAGGGAACGAAGACCTTATTCATTTTGTGTGAAAACATTTTCAGTTCCTCATCCTGAAAAAGGGAAAGACAGAATCCAAGATTTACTTCGCCTTCATGATGAAATAAAGACATACAAGGTAAACACTTGTTTCTGCTCTTATCTTTTGATTTCCACAATTAATATTGACCTAATTTAGGGCCAAATCGATGGATAGCTATTTTTGCGTGGTTTGATTTGTCCCCGTAACTCGAAACCTTTGGCTAATATATTCGCGTCTCGAGTTCATATCCATCATTATTCACCTTAACCTGTTTGTTTGTTATGTGCTGGAATGGTAATGAGTAAGCTGACTCATTTGCCCTCTTAAAGATTGTTGCTTAGCTTTGGCATTTTAATTCTGTTCATGTAGAAAATAGCTTAATTCTTTACAATTTTTGTCCTTTTCATCATTCTTGAAGGATACCATGGAAGACATCTCCAATCACGTTATGATTTCAAAGTATATCAGATCGTTTAATGAGTTGATAGAAGCTGGAAATCTCACCGCCGATGCCATTAATATTAGCATTTCATTGGTAGAAGAGCTCACTGACCTTATAATGCTAGAAATGGAAGTTTCAGTGAACCAGTCCGAAATAAAGGTAAAGTCGAACTTTGCTTATAGATGACATACATGCTGTAGCTATTAGTAGACAAGGACTATGATGACCTCCTATGCTACAAGGGATATACGTACAGTATGTATCATCTCCATAAATAATAATATTCCATTTTTTTCTAGCTAAGGTTTTTGCTTGACTGTTAATCTTGTAGAATCAGCTGTCCACTTTGGTGAGTACTGTTGATGAAATTCTAAACGAGAATGATGCTGCAGCTTGGCGCACAAGTGGAATGGTGAGAATTAAGATTTTTTTTGTAATAGCCCACGTTCGATAGTATATGAAAGTTCTAACATGACCAAAAGCCTTCTGGTCATATTTCTATTAATTATGGTTTGGTTTTATTCGTGCTCAAGTTACTTCTGCGAATTACGAGACAACAGACTCGTAAAAAATTGAAATGTTGTCCGCAAACCCTCGGAGTCATGTTAGAATTCTTATGTATCGAATCTGGGCTATTTAAGCTAAATTTCTGACAAAGAAAGTTTTCCTTTGCCAGCCACCTTGTAGAAACCATGTCACGTCTGTTCTGGCCGAAATAAAAAAAAAACTGTAACGTTTTCCAGTCAGAAACTAATATTACCCAAGAAAAAAAAATAGAATTCAGCTAAGGACTAAATTGGCGAGCGCCAAAAGAGCGGAGCACAAGCTCGCTTGTTTTTTATACTACTACATAGGAAATTTCTACAATTTGATTGGCTTAGAGCAGTGGTATTTCAGCTTAATTTGAAATACCTTCATGTGAAAATTACAAACCTTTTGCGGGTAGTAGTATAAACAAATAACAGCATGATTTGTATGTGATATTTGGGATAAATACCTCTCGTGATATGTCAAACTTGTCTTAAATCTCACTTGCCCAACGGCTCGTGAAATTACGTATAGCAAGTTTGAAATATCACTCGAGGTATTTATGCCAAATATCACTACAAATCATACCATTACCTCTACTAATTAATCAATCAGAATATCGACAGAATTGATGGAAAATTATTAAGTTAACTTTTTTTTGTCTGTAGATTATGAACTTGGTGGAAGCTGTGGAAAAAACCTTGTCTTTAGCCTTAAACTTCTCATATTCAATAAATCAAAGCTTGTTGTGGGACAGAAGAAATTTAGGTAAGAACATTAAAGAACCGTACACTCAGATAGTTTTGAGAATAACCTACTAGCTAATGAACCAGGAACTTAAAACATGTTTAGCTTAGTCATAATCATCTGACCAAAACTTTGTCAAGCTAAAGGCTCCTTTATATTCCGCCAGAATAAATTTGTCCGAAAAACATAATTTTACCTGTTATTGTTTTCTTACTTTCTCTTTACAGATATTTTAACCAGTATAGAATACGTCCTTTTGGATCAGCGTAACATCACTATTCCTAACTCTAAAGACCAAGACATATTTACCGGTTTTATAACTTTTCAACCAAGCAACGGTGGTATTGGGACACCTAAAACTAGCAAAGGTACTACATCCAGTACGGAGATTCAAAATCGACAGCTCCACCAGATTATCTCAGTCTAGCAAAATATTTATTTGATAAAATACTTTCCTAATTATTGGCGCCTTGACCAGCCTCGGTCAATTATTAGTTTCTTGAAGGGTACTGGGGGTGACGCAGGTGTATTAAACCTTCAAATGGTTCATTCATTCTTTCAGGTCTGCAGTTTCATCTGTACCTGTCCGATCTGAAGCAGTTAGAGCAGTGAAAATCAGATTTTTAATTAAGGATTCAATGTCGTTTATCGTTTTACCAGCATTAGTAATTTACATATAATCGATTCAAAAATAACTCGTTGATTTCTTAAAAATAGAACTTTATGTCTACGCAGGTCGCTTTATTGTCGGCATAGTCGTGTTTAATAATCTTACGTCTCACTTTACAAAGAAACATCAACCGTCAAACAACAGGTACAGTAAGAGAAAATTTCTAGGTTATAATATACTATTTTTACCATATTATTTTTATTAATTGTTAACATTTAGATGGTTCTGTGATGTAGGTCAGAACAGTTGGAAAAACAAAAGATTGATATTTTCCAATAAGTAGATAAATAATATCACCTCTTGGTCTAAATAAAACAAAACTAACGTATCAGATCATGATCAAATGATGTGTTAAATACGCTTGGCACTATGGGGCATATATAATTTAAAACTTTGTGTCTACATATCCGCCTGCTCGTGATACTCCACTAGTGATTGGCTGATCGATTGATTGATTGATCGATCGATCGATTGATCGATTGATTGATTGATCGATTGATTGATTTATTGAGCAAGCAAGCAAGTGAGTGTAGTTTATTTATCCGTACTAAAATTTAGATTCTACTTGCTCTGACACAGGAAAGATGATGGCCAAATTTTTCTCAACTCGGAAATTATCTCAGTGATTGCATCTTACGACGGCAAACCAGTTCAAAGGCTCAAGAAAGATGCATTGTTAACGTTCGAGAAGAAGGTTTGTAGTTTTGTGAAGTAGAGGAGTATCGAAGTTAAACAGTGTTGATCAAAGATGTCTTTTAGTTTGCATCTATACGTGTGTGGTATTTCTGTATGAGAGTAAAGGTCGTGGTGTATGATAACCGTGTCTAGTTCTTTGTTCCACTTCATAGACAAGTGATGGGAAAGAGCCTCTGTGTGTTTTCTGGAAACCAGTTCCAGGGTTAGTTCTATTTCCTACTCACTCTTGACTATTGATCAGAGTTGTCAATATACAAAACTAACACGCGACATTGTTACTCCGCAGTGAAAGGGAATGGTCATCGGAAGGTCTTTCCTTAATTACAACCAACAAACAGCAAATAATTTGCTCCACCAATCACTTAACAAGCTTTTCTGTATTGATGCGCTGGACCGATGTAAAGGTACATGTGGTACATACATATAGTGTGTAAGCAATAACTGTTAGCTATAAGGAAGGTAGGGATGGCACCTATACGTTTATTACTATCCTTTGCTACTGATGGAAAAGAACATTATAAAATTTAAAAAAAAGACATTAAATATATCGGTTCACTTAACAGGTATCCCCGGGCGATAAGTATGCGCTGGATGTTATCACCTACATTGGCAGTGGAGTATCACTTGTTGCTCTTGCCTGTGCGATAATTATATTTTTATGTCTGGGCAGGTAATTATTATTCGTCTTCTAAAAGTTACAGTCTTGCATCCCGGCTTGCATCCCGGCTGACAACTTCTTTTTTGTTACCTACGGCCTTATGTAGGTGTACTTATGTCTGTAAGAGCAGTTGGTTTTTTTACCACTGGTATACAATCATATCCATACCTTTTACCTGGAGGTGAGGGACCCCAGGTAGGAGAGGTAACCCGCTTAGCTGGGGTAACCCGCCTTTCCATATAATCTCTCATTTTAACTTGATCGCGTTTACATGATAGGTGGGGTGACCCGCCACATGTTACCTCACTTATCTGGAGTCCCCCACCTCTATGTAAACAGGCCCTAAATACTCGTTTAAAGTATCCATCCATTTAAAATTTTTCATTATGAAGTCAATTATACTGTTGGATGCATTTTCTTTGTTAAAAGAATTCATTGCCAGGGTAAATTGGTGTACCGGCTGATGTCAGTGCTGTTACATACCATTCATGTAGTGATTTTATTTTCAAGTTATTAATGAGTTTAAAAATCAGAAAGAAAGACTCATGTATATTTTGTGCTATCAGATCGCTGTCAGCTATCCGATACCGCATTCATCTCAATTTGTGCATTGCCTTAGCTGTGGCTCAAGTTGTGTTTCTTTCGGGGATTGAAGCTTCAAGTTCACCGGTATATTGAGCCTTTTATATGGAGTCAAGTAAACTAGTATATAAACTTTATCACAGCTAACTGATTAAATCAATAAATCAATAAATCAATAAATCAAGTTGATACACGAACAATCAATCCACAAGGGACAAATAGTATAAACCCTCGGTCATACAAGCAAATTTGTACCCCGGCGGCTGTGGTTAATGTTGAGAGTTAGATGGACTGATCCACTTTGGATTTTTTGCAAGAGAGAGTAATGACACAGAGGACCTCTCTTGATTTGGAAAGTTAAACAGCTTGCCTTTGACAAGCTGTACAAGATAACGTCAATACCATGGGAGATAGCATTAAGGACCTGTAATTGTTAATGAAAATGGCTGCCATATCTGCCGCCATCTTGGAATTTACTGAAAATTCAGTTAAATGCGAGAAGCTCACGTTTAGAACATAAGGATTTTTCGTGCTTCAAGACTGATAATTGATGCCGAGTTCACAGTTTGCTGCATTCAGTAGTGTTTTATACGGGTTAGTAGGAATCAAGAAATATTACCATCCTTGACCACATGACGCTTCATGTCAAGGCTGAACAGGGTGACATAGCAATATATTTTATTTTTTCCAGTGGATATGCACAACAGTGGCTGTTCTTCTTCACTACCTGTACACTGCAAGCTTTACTTGGATGTGCGCAGAAGGGTTGCACCTTTATTTTAAGATCGTTACTGCGTTTAATCTGCACAGAATAAGAATGATCTACTATGTGATCTTAGGCTGGGGTAGGTATTATAAAACTCAAGACGTTTGTATAGAACCTTCTAGTCTATAATGAGATCAACATATGGTACTTTTAAAAATATCACGAGCTCAAATATAAGCCTGTAAACTTCAACTGAAGAGTAACATTTGTCGATAAAAAAGGGGGGAAAAGTTAGGTAATCAGAAAACTTTGGTGCATGATCGCTTTTTCTTTTTATTTCCAGGATTTCCCGTCGTTGTTGTAGGAATATCTGCCACTACCAGGATCAAAGGATACGGTGCAACAGACTTGTAGGACTGTATTTCTCTCCTTACATCTTTTGTTCTACTTTGCAAATAACTGTGTTAGGCTCATTATCTAACTAAGTATGTTACCTGTGCACGCTGGTCTTCGAATTGCCCCCACCTCCTTCTGGGTGAGGGGAACTGATCAAATTTCTATGAGGGAAGACTCCGCCCAGATGTCCAACCCCTTTTATAAACCATTTTTGAAAAAAAAGTTACCTACCCCTTTCGTAATACTTTTTATTGACAACTACCTACGATGAGGGACGAAAGTGCTGACACACTTCCACAAATGGCCCCTTTCTGCATAGTGGATATACTTATCCCCTTCCCCTGTCTACCCCAACCCCTTCCCCCCAAAATCAATGTTGAATTTTGGACCCTCATTTCTTTTTTTTTACTTCAGACAACATTCATTCAAGGGGTGAGGGGATTTACGGCGTTTAAAAAGAATGAAATAATAAATGAATTAAATGTTTGTTAAAAGCACCCGTTTTAAACAAGTGTGTCAACTCCTTTTGTCCTTGATTGTAGCTTAGAACGCTTCATTCATTTTTACGGCTGTAAAGGCGTTCTCTTTTTAATATTGATAAATCACTTAATCAGGACGTTTTCTTGACTTTTTCACAGCCATAAAATGCGTCTCTTTTTAGAGCTCCTTTAGGTTCTTTTAGACATTGAAGTGACAGATTTCCCTATCCTTTCATATACTTTAACTAGCAGAATTCCTACCCGTTCATGTACCGGAGACCTGAAAAGGTATAGGATCGTATAGGAAGTATTCCCCAGAATTTGCTTTGCCGGCTTACGAGAATACGGCAAATTCAGAATTTGAGGGAAAGAATGGGATTGATTACGTTATTATATTACGAGTCTTAATTAGTTGTAACGAAAGATGTGGTTATGGTTATGGTTTCAGGTGCTGGTTGTCCTTAGACAAAGGATTTATTTGGTCGTTTATTGGACCAGTCATAGGAATAATCGCGGTAAGAGACGACTTCATACAACATTCCTCTCATGGACATTAATTCTATCTTCCGTTACTTGACTCTAACGATATTTATTTCCAAAATTTTTAGTTTAATGTTTTAATACTGGGACTGATTATTAAAACCTTGATGTCTTTGTCGAACGTGGCAGCATCTGATCCTCGAGAAAATATAGTGAGGTGAGAATTGTTCATAACTTCTGAATTTTACGTTTGAGTCTTGGATGCGTCGCCATTATTAACGTCGAATCCCGAAATGGTCTCAACAGCTGCATTAGATAAAAATAAAAATTGGTTATGACCAGTGTTTATTGACATCAGAGGTGACATAGCAGCGTTATGGCGTCATGAACAAACTCAAACAATTATTGTTTTCCTTTTAAAGTGATAATTTACAGAAACTTGATAACAGAACTCCCAGCCCTTACTTCTCAAGGCACAGGATCGTCCTGCAAATAAGAAAAGTGCCGTGGCTCCATACAAAAATTTTGCCGTTGATTAAAATTAACTGGTTTCAGATACGCAAAATCCATTTAGTGAACGCCTCTTCAGTTCTCACCGACAGGTTCTTTCAAGCTTTCCTGGGTGCCTTTAATCCCTTTTTCCACAGGTTTTTGTTTGATTTTCTTTTCAAATATTTTATCTGAGTAACAAAGATTGCTAACCTTATAGCACCTCTTGTGATTCATGTTTAAGGACAATCCATCAATTCCAATTTATTTTACCAACGTCGTTCCAAAAGTAAATTAAACAACAGGCTTGCAAAGCATATTTTGGGTCCGTATTAGCCAATCGGATTTCATTCTATTTTTCAGATCTGGTGTTAAGGCAGCGCTGATGTTGATGCCTTTACTTGGGACCACATGGGTACTTGGGCTTTTAAGCGTTAATTCTGACACCGTCGTGTTCCAATACTTGTTTGCTATTGTCAATTCCTTGCAAGTAAGTTCGGCAAGTGGTGCATGTACCCAAATCATGGCTATATATAAAACAATTTACCTGACCGTCTCTAAGTTTGCAGCAAAATTGTACTTTTGTCTATCCGTGTCTAATTTTGGCAGAGTTGTGTGAATATATGTGGCAAGCGGAGCATACTTAAACCCATCAGAAAAACCATACATGAGACGGTTTTTCTATTCGTCCCAGATCGAGTTTGACCATATTATATGAGAGTCTCAATGGGGTTGACCGTCAGCTGTCAAAAAAGTTCATTTTTTACCGTCAACCGTCAAAAATGCAGATTGACACCGTCAAAAAGTTTCAATCTTGCTTTCTTTTCCTATTTCAGCTGATCGTAATGGTTTTCCAGCTCCTGAAGAATCCAGCTCCAAACTGGAAAACCAGCTCCCATGTACTTCTCAAAACACTCCTTCTAGACATTACAAGACCTTAGAACCTGCTTATATCTAAAGTTATTTCCAAATTTTATCAGTGGCAGACAGGGACAGCCTCCAGACGGAGAATTTATACAGAAGTAAATATATATTTACTAATTAAAAAACTCTTGGACCAAATTTACCCTTAATAAACGTCAACCGTGTCAAAGCTACCACCCACCCCATTGATACGCTCGAATATATGCCGAAAAAGTGTTTATCCGTCTCTATTTTTGCCGGGTAAATTTTGCACCTATGTATTAATGTTGTATTGTTTCCATTTCAACCTAGATACGATAGCTTAGAGCTTATCACTGAAAAAATATACAGCATTGATGTTGTTCTTTTTAATTTCGTTTTCTCTTTTTTCTGTCCAGGGCCTCTTTATCTTTACTTGCCATTGTATTGGAAACTCTGAGGTAAAACGCTTCGATGACCTAAAATAGATCAACTCTGCTCATGATATTTCACTTCGTCCCAGATTATTTTGTTTTATTTTTAAAAGCCCAAGATAAATTGATGAAGTATTTTCGAAATTTCGATCCTGATATTATTATTTTAATCCAAGGGGTTGAATATTGAATTTAAAATTGATTTCTTAAAATGTTAGCTTTATACCCAGCTCATCACCTGTGGTTCTTTTACCATCTAGGTCCGCACGGCCTTAACTAAACTGAAAAACAGACATTCTACGAAAATAGCCTTTTCTCGAGAGGTGGGTTTACAGAGTATTTCCCGTTTCTTTCTAGGCTTTTTTGGTTTTTGTTGTTGTTGTTGTTGTCGTATTTGACATTAACACGTACAGCCACACCCCGTTAATATGGATACCAAAGAGACAGAGTCAGGTCGGTTTTCCGCATTACAGAGGTGTGCTTTATATCCTCGGGAAACACAAAACTTTCCTAAGAGCCCATAACTGTTCGTAACAGGGCGGAGTTCTCTGTGTCATGGAGGAGTGCTAAAGGGGAGTTTTGGCTGTATATATATGAATAACTTGTTGTGTGTTGCCACGTATTCAAGCAGGTTAACGATACTTCAGCTTTCTCCTTGACATATTCTAAAAAGCTTATCATCTTTTACCTCCTTTTTAATAATTAACAGGTAAAGTCTGTCAAACCAAAAAGAAAAACTAAAGGTAAGCATTGTATCTGATGTGACCTAAAAGCGGCCCCTAGTCAATAACTGAACTAAAAAAAATATCGTTCGTTTTATACTTTCGGAAGATGTTTAAGTAACCCTACACTTTTTTATCTATCATTGACTGAAATTTACTTAAGTCAGACATAAAACAGTAAAAATATAATGGACATTACTTACTAGTAACACACCTTTTTCTTAAATCTCCTATACTCAGGTTTGAAAGGATCAAAATTTGATGCAGAAAATCAAACAAAAAATATTGTTTTATTGGTAAGCAAAGTACTAAAAATTAAAGGTTTTTTAAGGATTTTGTGTTGCGTGTATCTTTAAGATGACACGGCGGGATTGATCAGATTGGTAAGACATGTTATTCAGTTTTCCCCTATTTTAAAATTAGTTTTTTTTTACCATGATCACAAACAGTACGTGGTCGAAACGTCGCGATCGATGTGAGATTAATGAAAACGAACCAATCATGGAAACTAATAGACAGCTAGTCCAGTTTCGAATTCGTCGCCGCCACTAAATAAGAAGCAATGAAGACTGATTTACACATAAACTCCAGTCAGAAGAAGATCTACGTACAACTGTGTCTATAATTGTTTTAAACTCAAATTAAGGCACCATCAGCCGGTATTTGTGAATATTTTACTTTAGGTCGAGGCTCACCCTGACTGAATAAAAGAGTTGTCGGTACTTCTTTAATTTTCAGTGGCCGCGACGAATTTGAAACTGAACCATTGTCGCTTGTAGACTAATATAATGGGTGTGACTGACCCACTCTAGACGTCCTAAACTCGAACCCATTCCACAGTTTTCGGTCTTGAAGTAAAACCAACATAAGAAACAAACATTCATACTAGAAATACGTATATCGCAGAATGAGATACATGGGGAAGGATGGCACGTTAAAATAATATGGACGGGAGGGCGGAGAGAAAGAGTTAATTGTGCAACTGGTGACGGCGGGTTTTATTACCGGTGCCGACAAAGTGGCTTAATGATACAAGCAGGGTAAAATACCAAGAATCCAACAAATATTTGGTACAGCATTTTACCCATTTTGTCTGTTGTTGTAGTTGTTACTGTTAGCTATTCACACATTTTACCTCATGTGTCTTGCAGGTTGTGGATCCAGCAGAATTAGAACTCAAGGATATTGATTGAGAAATGATTTTATGTCCCGTTTTTTACTTTCGATTGCACGCACATAATTTATGTCTTGTAGACTTCGGTTAAAATGTGGAATTGTCTAATAGCTTATAAAGAAACGTCCGCGGGCCAGTAGTTTTACGAACTCTTTCTTGTCCTTGAGAGAATTCGCTAAAATCTGATGGCTGATACTGTTTTCATAGCATTACTTCCCAGTTTTCCCGTGCTGATTTTGAATTGCTAACTAACTGAATGACTTAAACTTCAAACTGTTCACGACGCTGTCTTCACCAGAATGCTTAATTACTAGACGCTCGACATAAAATACCAATCCAGAGCGGTTAACCTGCTTTAATTAGTTAAATTTGCTGATGTACAATGAATGATTCTTATTGTAGTTTTATGCAGTTTTGTCCTAATGCTACCTGCCTCTACCTCTTTGAGATGACCTTTTCTTGAAGAGGTGGAGAAAGAATCTAGCCTAGACAAAGAGCTTGCACTGGACCCTCAGACAAGCGTCCTCATGATCAATAAAATAAAATTATTGTCTTAAATCTGTAAAAAGGTACAAGTTAAACCTCATTCACACTAGCAAGTTTTTTTGACAATGTAAGTGGGAAATAAAACAGGACCCTGAATTTTTCCTTGACAAGAATAAATGCCATAAAAATACTGAAGAAAATGAAAACGTTGTTAAGGGCAATTGCTAGCAGAGTGGTAGTAATTGTTAGCCCCCATCAAACTCCAGTCGGAGGAACTATCAAGCCACTAGAATTAAGATAAATTTTGCTCCCTGTGATCAAAACCCTCCATCCCTCATGTCCGTGCCACCGATTATTAGTCAACTTTTTAAAATTGTTTGTGATATTATTTTCAAGTAGCACTTTCTAACGATGTCGGACTTCACGTCACAACCACTACCTTGGCATCATCAGTGAACAGCACTGTCTTCTGAACGCTGCGTTAAATGAGAACTGAATAACACTCGTTAACAGCATGTATTAATAACTCCTGTTTTGTCAATACAATTTATAAAGAAACTTAAGTAGCTTTAAATTTCTCTGAGCCGTTTGAAAGTAAAAGTTTCCTAAATCTACCCCATCCCCGCTCCTCCCCCTCCTCCTCCTCCTCCTCCTCCTCCTCTGTGTCTCTGATTATCGCTCATCCTGGGTGTGGCTCATCTTTTTTTGCTTCTGGCACGTCTTGTGGTCCAACAATGAACTTTTGTTTGTATAATATAAACACCCGCTTCCTCATTACAAATGACATGCAGATCAGCAAACCTGAATGAAAACAATTAAACCTGCGTCAGACACAGACACCAGTATTAGTGTGTATTGGTCCCTTAAATCCATTCAGCCTATGAAAGGTAGATTGTACAACCAAGGACTACGCCCCCTTATTGTTTGTTCGTTTTTTCATACCCTCCTCCGATACATAGAGGAGGATAAGAAAGACAAGACCAGAGGCGTACCAACACCCTCAATAGGCTGATTTAGCAACAGAACGGGAATGTCAGTTGACGACGGCGCGCGCAAATCAAACAACTGGCTTAACCAATGGCAGAGCGGCAAATTAGGCACTGGATGTCGCATTTAGTCCTTTCCGCGAGCTTTCCAGTCGTCAAATGACGTTCCCGTTCTGTTGCTAAATCAGCCTGAGGTTGCTTTCACCCGAACTGAGACTAAAATAAAATTAAATACATAAATAATAATGATTTAGAGGTAGTGCGTCCACTTGGTGGTTCATCGTCTACCTGATTCCTGGTCGAATTGGAATTTGGAACTGTTGGTTTTTGAGGAGGGGGGAAAAAAGGAGTACCTAGTGGAGAAAATCTCTCGGAGTAATGGAGAGAACCAACAACAAACTCGACCCAATATGGCGTCGACGCCGGGACTTGAACCCGGGCCACATTGCATGGTGGGAGGCGAGTGCTCTCACCACTGAACCACCCTTCCTCCCCTATATCCTAATCATAGTAAACATGATCGCACCGTTATTTAAGACCCTGATTGGTGGCCCGGCCTTAGTTTGCGAACTGACTCATATTTCCATCTAATTGCGTTGTAACTTGGCAAATGCAATTTCGTCAGTCATCCCTTCACTCACAAACATTTGAGTCACTAACCTTGAGAGCTGTTGATTATTACAAACGGATATTCCAAATATGGGGTTGGATAGAAAGCCAGGACAAATCCCAAGATCCACGTGACTCCCACAACAGCTGTTAATTTCAGAACAATCAAAGGAAGATTTTTCTGATTTGCTGTCACCTCATTGCCCTATAACCGATCAGCGTAATGTCAGATTTTATAAAACGTAAGGACATTGTTGAATACTGTGGCAACAAGCCATTGAGGAATGTCTTAAAATTCAAAGGAAAAATAAATTATTAGAGAGATTAAGATTCACGTTTACGCCAAACGGCAAACGTGAATTTGTACCACGTGACAAAGTTTTCTCCTTATTTTTCGTTTACTGTTTATTGTTTCTACACAAAAATAAGTAGTTTTATGCCAGTTTTGTCCACAAGAATCGTTCTGGACTGTTTTTATCTGCTTATTTTCTATTCTGAGAAATTCTCAACTGACGTTTGCCGTTTGCCGTATGCCGTAAACGTAAATCTTAATCTCTCTATTGCTGTCGGAAGGAACTTCGACTCAGCTCGTGCGGACTTTGCTGCAAAAAGCTCTTCTGGTCAGTAACATCAATTCAACAACGGTCTCAGGTTGCGAGCTTCATTTAGTAATTAGGAACATATATTTAATAACTGCACCTGTACAGTACAGTACAGTACAGTTTAATCCTCCAATCAGTAATCATGTTACCACGGACTTGCATTGGCGGTCAAACAATGCAGCGAAGCCACTCTAATCTTGCGTAGACCTCTTTGCTTGCTCAATAGAGACATTAATTAGTTTAGCTATATTTATCCAAGGGTCCCGTTGGTATTGACGCTTCGACTTCGCAAACAGTGTCTTCTTTGCCAGCGTAGTGTTTGGACAACGGCAAACATGACCAATATAAATTAAATATTGGCTTTTGATCACATTCATGTACCAACAACTAAATGAATTGTTGAGCAAATGCACTGAAGTGAGAAAAGACAAAAAGGTTTCGATGCAAATTGTGTTAGGCTCTGAGAATTAAGAGATACTTATAATCAAGCGGGGTGGATGTTTGTAGGTACCCTTCAGGGCATTGAGATGTTAGGGAACCGCTGCTCTATTGGTGAGTCTCACTTCCATGCAAATGCCCTTCAATTTTCATCAGAGTTTTTTCAGTTTCGTCCAATCATTAAATGGCTGTGGCATCTCGACATTAAAGGTTCATCAATGAATGTTACTTAATATGAACTCGTAAATTGGTTACCTGTCCTCCCTGTTTCAAAGCAATGGCAGTGCGGATCAGAGCAACGATGTTGAAAAGAATTGAGGCCGAAACGGGAATCGTAATTGCGTAGGTTCGAGCAGGAAGAGACAGTTGACAGCCATCTTCGTTTCCTGCAGGATTAAAAATTACTTTCTTAATATTGATTTCCTCAACTATTACCGATCGTCCAGGTGATGCAGCTTCCTTGTACAGGTTAAATCACGTCGTCACCTTTATTATGACGCTAATTAAAGTCATTAAAATAAATCAACAGCTTCTGAAGAACAAAGTGACCTTTCCAAAAGGACCGTCAGTCGCATTACGCAAGGCACTTTCCCCTTTATGGTTGCATTGGCACGCCAGACCCTGTCAGATGTTTGTGTATTTGGCGCTTGTAACACCTGGTTCGTTAGTTTTGAAAGTGATGGGCAAACGACACAGCGCATGCTGCACACAAGGAAAAGTTTATAAAACTGTCTAGTGCATGCTAGAAGAGAGTTGGATAGTTGGAAATTTGTGCTCCACAGAACAGGAACTTGACCAAAACCCAAACGAATTATTCAAAACCATCATATCCTCTTGCCAACTGCCTTTAATGATAAACTTTTAGCCTTCTTGCTTGTACAAATATTTCGCAAGCATTCACCACTTTCTCATTGCCCATAATAAACCGATGTTTTCCCCCCAATAGTTTGTATAAGTAATGTTTCAAATTCCCCCTAGGTATTACAGTCCTCCCAACAGAGGCTAAAAAATGTGTTTGTGCATTTTTCAGATTTATTCCCTATCTCGTGGAGATTTCAATGAAGTCATGAACGACCAAATTAAATTGGTTAAGAGAGATGACAAAAAGTTATTTTCACCGTATGTAGCATTCCCAGTAGTTGTCAGCTGCAGAAGCACACATACTGTAACGACAATGACTGGCATCACCCAACAGAATATGCTGTAACGGATGTATGCCCTCCTCTTTCCAGCTATCACCAAAGGGTTTCGGTTGTCCAAAGCTTTATGAAATAAAATTAGGAAGGAAAACTTAAGTAACATGGATTTCATGCTCCCTAGTAAGACGTGCATTTCCTCACACACTCGTTTGCGCCGTTACTGAGGTTCTGTACTACCAATTTCAGTACTAAAATTAAACACACACTACCAACTCCGCAGTATGGCCAGTACCTTACTTATACGCACCCGGGCAGTGACAGCCACGGACAGCGGCTTCGTCCTCACTAGGACTCATCAGCAGTGACATGGCTGTGCGCATGTGTAAGGTACTGGTCATATCGCAGAGTTGGTAGTGTGTAGTCCTGAGTGCTGAATTATTGGAATTGCCCTGAAATGATCCCGGCCCCAAAATGATCCCAAGACCTGGGATGATCGCCAAATCAACCCTAAAATGATCCTGCCCTCGAGATGCATAATCCCCACTTTTTTTCCTCTCTGACCATAAACTCATCCACAAGTGATTCTTGCAATGACAACTGTAACCGGGAATTTTGCAAGGGAATAAATATACGGACTTCGTAAATTTTAAATTTTTTTTCATTCCAATTATCTGACATCTTCACTTAACAATTTTCAAGACGTTAAAAGATGTTAATTATACTCGTGAATCACAATGTACTGTATTGAATAACGATTGGTTTTTGTTCATTTCCCTTTAAAAAATTCAGTTTTTGGTCTAAAAAAGAGCCCCAGTGGGTATTAAATTGATTTAATTAAACATGTACACATGAAGTCGTACTCACTCAAGTTTGAAAACGTTTGCTGAACGTTGTGGGCGATAACGCTCATCCACAGAAATACTACCAAGATAAAGTAATGCAACAGGGAACCCATCACAGCACAAACTGTAGAAGAGACAACATCTGGGTCTGCAGCAAAGTAAACGGATTTCATGGCTATCATTGCCACAGAAAGATGCATCACCATTTTACTGGGATAGGTCCGCAGCTCTGCAAACATGAAATACGTCAGTAACAAAAACAGAAGAGAGATAAATGACAGCGAAAAACCCACATAAGTGATGATACGAAGCGCGAATCCTTCATCTTGAGGCTTATTGTTGTCTGCTTGTTTTTTGTTGTTCTTGATGTGTATTGTTGTTTTTGGAGGTTTAGTGAACATGTAGAGACGTGAAATGTTTAAGCAAAGGGCTAAAGACCTGTTTGCCAAAATGTAGCTGTCGTTGTCGTAAATCTTTTTGTAAGAAAAAATAAAAACAGAATTGTTATTCAAAACAGTGAACTCGGCTGGTCGAAACCGAGGACCATAACACTCTTTGTGTTTTGTTGTTTTTGTTAAGTTGGTATCGTAGTGGACTGGAAGACATTTTCGTTTAAAAGGATCATAAAATTCTCCTATCTGACAACTGTAGTTAACGAAGAAAACATTGTTTCCCTTTTTCCATACAGCCTCTGGTTTTGCGTTAGTGGAAAAGACGAACAACGCCGACTTCAGTGTCGGAGGAAAACGCCCATGGAGATTAATTCCGCAGTTTAATGTCCCATCAGATAAATTGAACTTTTCTAGAATTGCACAGTGTGCATTTTTAAAGAGTTTTGGCGGTTGTTTTGGCCTATGTACGGAAATACTATTGGCGTATAAATTGCAAAGGTGTCTCTCCTCGGTTTCATGTCTTCTGAAGGTTTCTGCTGGCGTTGCGATACATTTTTTTACATCTCCGACTGGCCTGGCTTCCCAGATTGTTGAATCAGGTTTGAACTCTTGCAAAGATGGTAAACTACTTTGTTTATTTACGATAAAGAGACTCCAAAAGAAAATGTCGTAAGTCTTGTTATGACACATGGCGCAGTAGATGTTGGCATACGTCACATTCGTCATTATGTCTACCACTGGCAAAGCGAAAAGAAGATCAGACGAATAATTAGTAGACATACACGCCCGCGCAGTTTCAGTACCATTCCAGGACAACGGACAACTAGCGATCATAACGAAACCACGTACTTCGTTCTTTTCATTTGATGGCAGTCTTCGACAAGATAAAAACATCGATGGATGTCTATCACTTGTTTGACCAGGAACAAACCTGAAAGAAATAAGACATCACTAAGACGAAACAGCAGTAAGAAATAAAACATACAGCAGGAATTATAATAGGTAAAGGGAGAGGATTAAATTAAAAATTAAACAGTCCATTGGTTAACAATTCAAACATATTCTACTCTAAGTGCCAGAGGCTTTTCATGTGCGGTGAATATTGAATTTACTAATCCTACTACAAACGTACACGCATTTTTTCCGAAAACCCGACACTTGACGGTTTGTTGACTCCCAAATGAGGTACAGAATCGAATTCCATACAATCCACAATGGCTCGCTGAACTCCTAGAATTCAACGCTTCTCCACTATTTATGGTTCGTCGTAAACTGACCATCCACCTGATTGGCACAGGAGACACAGGCCAATTTGGATGTTCCACCGTTAGATTGATCAAAGATTTATATTTTAGTTACTAAGCTAATAAATCGAGACGACTAGACTACAATAACTAATTTTAAGGAAAAAATGCTCTGCAATCAAATTATCTTGTAATTCGGTTTGTTTGTAAGTTATTAAGGATATTGGATTTGCGGAAAAAGACAGAAACTTACCACTCGTCAAAATCCACGCAACAATCACCGAGCGTTTTACAAAGTGAATCACAATAGCAGTATCCCCATAGTCTATCCTCTCTTCTTTACAGAGAGTAATGTTTACTTGACAAGACGCGCGCCAGTGGTTGCAAACCTTCTTAACTCTCGATTGACCTTGCACCATGGCTTGAAACTTTGAACAGAGAAAGCTCTGATTTGACTTGAATGGTTGACAAGGCCCTGTACGGGGCAAAAATAAGGTATATTTGAAAATAATTTATAATAAAAATGAACGAACCAAAATATTGTAAGCATGAACGTCTCTGTTTCTTTTTTTAGTTTTTAATAGCCTGTGTACAGACACCTTCTCACCGCAGTTATTTAAACCTGACTGTTGGTCCGGCCGGGATTTAAACCAGCGGGCATCCTGCTCGGCAGACCGGCGCTTTCCAAATGAGCTAATAGGGCGGCAGTTTCTTCGTCAACAGGAGTGCGCTTTGGTTAAGCTACAGTAACGATGCAAAGTAGATTTTCTTATCCGACGTGAAACCGGCGCTTATCGAAATGATTCAATCGGGCGGCGGTTACCTCATGAACAAGCATGCACGTTGGTTAAGCTACAGTAATGATGCAATCTAGATTTTCTTACCCGATGTGATGAAGTTTCCTCGTGAAATGAAAGGAACCATGAAGGCAAGAGTGGCAGTGCAAAACAGGGATAACATCCCCATGATAAACAGAAGACGATGATATCGCTCTCAAGAAACCTTCAGCAGATTTTTGATTATGCTGTTAAGAAGAGAGCCTGGGTTAGAGCAATGTGTTTTGAAACAAAAATTTGAACGTAAAGGCCAATGGTTAGGGAAACAGCTGAGCTGTGACGACTGACACGAAAAGCAGCATTTTTTTGCGTAAACGTATCAATTTTGATGACTGGTTTGATGTCTTGAATTATACATTACTTACTCAACTATTGTCTGGACGACTGTGATTTGAACTTCGAAACGTCCAAAAAACTTGCGCTTGCGATATTCAAGTTGATTTGAATTAATAATTGCCTTAGTTATAAGACATAACATTTATTTTTTTATTAATTTCTTTCTTAAAAAAGAAAGTAAAAAAAAAAAATTCCAAAAATTGGAATCCATTCCGTCTGTTAATATCTGCTTTTGGGTTTTTGTTGTTTAGCTTTAGTTTTTGTTTGTTGTTTGATTTTTTTATATTAATGCTGCTTACCTTTCGTTTCTTTTTACCAACTAGACAGTCTTCATTGCCGCTTTTACTGCCCTCCAATGAGAGAAAAAAGTCCCCTAACAAGCTTCGAACAAGCTTTAGTTCTGCTGTATATTATTAGATCTTTTATACAAGAATTTGCTAATTTTAGGTTCATTTCCCGACTACTTCTTTCTCTGTTAAAAATGTGTTGATTCCTTTGAGGGTAGTTTTTCTTCTTAATTTAATTTTAATTTCAAAGGAAGACGTCTTTTCTTTCTTTTGAATACAAATTGTCGAACAATAAAAATTCACCTAACCAAAGGAAGTGTTATAGCCAAGAGATGAAGACTTTTCTAAGTTTTTATTTATGTTTAAAATTTAAGGGGTATTTTAAAGAGTGTAATTCAGCGTTTCACAAAGTTTCACTTAAATATACTACTTTGCACTAGACACATGGGTTTTCTGCATATACAAATGAAGGGTAGCAGCGGTAACAAAGGCAGTAGTAAAAGACAGTGATCAGTAAGCGCAGCCATAAATGACAGTCAGGGGACAGTATCAACGGCTAAAAGAAATGCCGCGAATAAAGGAGTCTAAAACTAGGTCTTATTATATTTTTTAAAGGGGGCGAACATTACTGCCAGTACAGAGAAAAGTAGCATAACAGAGTGAACCTGTGCCAGCATCTATGTGCAGCTGCTACCCATGGCACTTGGCCTTTGTAGCATGAGCACAATCAATTCAAGATCAATAGGGAAATTTCGCAAGGAAACTCTTTTTTTCTGACCACAACTGCAAAAGAAGACGTCGTTTATACCTTTGTTGGCTATTGCAAAACAGAAATCTATTGTTTGATTAGGTTTGTATGTTTTTCCTGTAAGCTATAAATATATGCTGAGCTAAGATATTTCAAGTCAAAACAGGAATAATGAATGCCTTCATTGAGCAATGAGCAACCTTGAAAACTGGTAGTCAGAACTGAAAAGGCTTATGAAATGTAATCTGTCTTCTCCCCTAATGTTTTCCCTGGGATTAGTTAAAGCCATGGTCGAGGAACTTATCGTAAAAGTAAATCCTTTATTAAGCACCCCCGGGGGTTATTTATTTCGAAAACATTTTAGGGGGGGGGGGGCTTAATAGAGACGGGCCTTTTTGTGAGAGGGGGGCTACTATTTAATTTAGCAATGACGAAAGTATCAGTTCTCTATAAAGAACCAGAATGCAAAGTGGAAAAGGTCATAAAGTTGGAGGTCATGTAGTCGAAGATCAAAAACAAATTTGAATTTCCAGCTGGTGAATTAACCACCTTGGATCAGTGCAAACGAAGTTTTACAGTGGTAATTGATTAATACAGTCTATTATTTTATTTGTGAACAATAATAAGGGGGATCGAGTGGAGGAGGCTTAAAATAGAGGGAGGGAGGCTTATTAACTTTCTTCCCGGCCTGAAAGGGGGGGGGGGGCCTTATGAGAGAGGGGTGACTTATTTGAGAGGGCGGGGTGGCTTTATAGAGGGTTAATGGTATATGAGCAGGGACGTTTCTTGCCGTAACCATCCAGATATCGGTAGCCAATATCTGAGACGGCCCAAATCATGCAATTCAGAAACAAACCACGACCAGCCACTGATTTACCCTTTTGTTACATTCATTTGAAATTTTTAAATCAGTGATGATCCTTGCAATCCGATTGGCTCTCAACAGTGTGATATATTCACGATTAACACTATTTATCGCTCTAAATCAAGTGTTTTAATTCGCATCATTTTTTGCTCTTAGGGCCTGTTTACATGGAGGTGAGGTAAACCGCGGCAAGTCACCCCACCTATTATGTAAATGTGATCAAATTAAAATGAGAGATCATATTGACAGGTGGGTTACCCAACATAAGCGGGTTACCTCACTTTCCTGGGGTACCCACCTCCTTGTAAACAGGCCTTAAATGGCATCACTTCGGTTTTGCATACAAAAAATATGTAAAATAAACAATAAAATATTGGTACTGACTGAATTTACGATTTCAAAATGGCTGTCATAAAGTGGTAATTGGACTTCCTAACACCCGAAGTTTTTGTTTGTAATCATACTTGTTTGTAATCGAACTTGCGCTGCGCGCTCGTCCAATTTTTAAATCACGCGGCCACGTAGTATTTCGACCAAATTGCACTCCACTCAATTTAATTAAAATTATATAACTTGTCATAAATACAGCTGTATTTCTCCTGATACGTTTTTGGTAGATTTCGCGGGTTTTCCATCGATCCCGAAAAACAAAAAGAAAAATAACAAAAATAAAAATAAAAAACATTTCGAAAAAAAAAAACGGACACCGTGAAAATTTACCCTATTTGTACAGTAGAACCCCAGTAACTCGAATTTCGTTCGCTTTCGGGGCAAAGCACAGATAAGTCACTGACGACTACGTCTAATCTCTTGAGCAAGAGGGTGCGAATTTGGTGATCAGGGGAGCGTCACTGCATAACAAGTGTACCAAAACAATGACGGAAAAAGTTTACTGACAGAATTTTACTCATAGACCAATATTGAGTTTTATTTCGTTTTAATGGCAGGGTAACGGCCTGTTGTTGGCATCCCTTCCTGTGTATAATTGCCGCCAGCGAGATGTGAAGCGATGAATTTTCTTTCTATATTCGACAGTGACATTCTTCTCGAAAGCGCTCCTTACAGCTGCAAACAAAAATAGTGAAAACAATAAGTGAGATACATTAATGCTCTATCAAGCCTCACCCTTTTTTAATCACCCCGCCCGGTTCCTCCCCTGCCAGCTCTACTATCACAATTAAACAGTTACAAAATGATGCATGTAATCAATGATATTAACTCCCAAAAATGAGTACCATTTCCCATGCACTAATCTTGTATAGTATCCGCACTAAAAGCTCCATCTAATTATAGACAGTCATCCCGTCCTCATACAAAATAATAAAGAAAAGAATTTAAAAGTGTCATATTCTCCCATGTGCTTCTCCCTTCTTCTTTGCTACTAGCACTGCATTTTGGTAAATGAAGTAATCCCCTCCCTCCCTAAAAAATGGCCGTCTCTATATGTTTCCACAAGATATGAAGTGGGTTTTTCCTAAATTATACTGTATTAGACAACAAATGCAAATTTTAAAAAAAGTAAAACTGAAATAAAAGAAAAAAGTTCCTCTTTTAAAACAATGCTAACGTACAGTTTGC